TTTTTTTTTTTTTTTTCTTAAATTTTTTTTCAGCACACGTCTCAAATACAAACAAACAAAAGGCAAACTGTTTCATGTCGCCTAAATGCTCTGGTTTCCCTGCTTTCAGTTTAATTTTGTGTGACATCGTCTGTTTTCATAGCAAAAATGCAAATAAAAAATCCGGCCTTTAATTGACCTTACTTTGGAATCTGTGTGTCGCCGAGTTCGGCTGTAAAAGTCAAACGTTTGTGAAATAATTGAATGGAATACTTGAAGTCACGTGGAATTCCTCAGAAGGCTCCTTGAGGGCAGCTCTTCTCTGGAAGTGATGCTTCCTTGCTGTGGGACCGCCCCCTGCTCCAGCTGCTGTATAAAGCTCAGGTGGAGTTTTACCTGTCAGATTATACACAGCAGAGAGGAGGGAAGCAGCCTCACCACTTTCAAAAAAGTGAGTGTTTTTATTCTTGCATGTTTGGTGCTTTAAAAAATAACTTAGCTGCTATAATTCCACTCTAAACTGTTTTCACTGAGCTGTTTTTGTGCTCTTCCTCTGCAGGCCTCTACTCCGTCAAGATGCCACATCTTCCTGAAACCAGCGTGCCCCCCCAGGAGGACCTGATCTGCTCCATCTGCTGTTACAGATACTGTCGCAAAACTCGCCTCCCCCGAGTCCTGCACTGCAGCCACACCTTCTGTGCTGTCTGCYTGGAGAACATAAGCAGCCGCTGTAACGTCATCCACACCGCCCGCTGCCCGCTGTGCCGCTGGACCACCTGCACCCCGTCCGCTCTGGAACTGACCCATTACCTGAACATCGACACGGAAATATGGGACCAGATTACAGCTGAGACAGAACCGCTGTGGGTTTTAGAGGACGTAGAGGTGGAAAAGGACACCAACCCAGAGCCGTAAGTTCAACATTTTTATTTGTATTTACAAGCTGCATCCTAGTTTCTGCACACCCCGTGTTTCTTTTAAAAACAAACCTCTCTTGTGTTTTATCTTTAGGAAAAGAAAGGATTTTAAAAGCAAACTCCAGCAGTTTTTCCAGAGGTCTGTAGCTGTTGGGGACAGGAGAGGATGGAGGATCAGCACCAATCAGTTTTGATCAAAGCTTGTGTGACGAACGAGCCAACGGGCTGAGGACTTGAAGTGTCATCATGTGAAGTTCTGGACTCCTTGTTTCTGTCATGATCCTGACCAGACTCTAACGTTTTTGTTTTACTCATCAGCACTTTAAAGTACAACAGGACCAAAGTGCTGCGTGGTAAATGTCAACATTTCAGGAGAGATCAAAGCCAAGATTTAAAATCTGACGGCGAGGAAGTAAGGAGCAGGTTGTAAACAATGCTGTAAAGTTTTTATTTATCACAAATAAACTGAGGAAACAAATTTTGTAAAGGAATATTTAAGCACGTGTTGTAATATTTAAGTGTGTTTTTGTTTYAATAATTTTAAATTATTGTACTTTTTAAATATATTATAAACTGTTCTAGGAATGACATCCTTGACTTTATGTTTTATATCATCTATGAATGAAAACCTCTTTGGTACTGACTGTTAATGCTCTTTTGATTCTGTTATTTTATTAATAAAATAAACTAAATCAAGTGTTTGACATGATGAATTTTGTTCTAACCTCTGACTTTTTTTGCATTGTTTTATTAAACATTGTTCAAATTAGTTTGCACATTTATTTTGTAGTATTGACATAAAACAACTGAACTGTGAGGTTTTTAAACTTGTGGTTTTGTTAGTCTGAAAAACACAGCATCGCTAATCCTTATTGATAAGCAGGAAAAACAACTTTTTAACACTTTGAACATTACAATTCATTTACAAAATTAAAAACTTAAAGATTATACTTCACTCGTATTGTGCCTGTTAGGGCACATATCTGATCCTACAATTTTTTTTCTTCTTCAGATATGTATCTGCTTAACCCATGCCCATCTTACATTTTTTAACACGTCACATTGTTTACCAAGAACAAAATCTGTCCTGTCTTGTTTCAGTAAATCCTGGGTGCAGTCTGGATTATTTTTATCTTGTTGTTCAGGTGTGGCCCCTCCCAGAAGTAAATAATCCTGATTATATTCTGTAGAATTGCCCTGGTTTTATTTAGAAACATTGACTTAGATGTGGTTTTCTCTTATATTCAGCTGAAATCAGAATAAATAACCTATTGTTTGTTCACATTATCATTGTACCTTTATGTATAGGCTGATTTATGAGTCACGGTTTACAGTATTTTGTGTCAGGTCATCACAAACCACAGCCTTCTCTGGAAAAAACCTTTATATAAGACTTTGTAAACACAGCTTGTAGTTTGACCTCAAACTATTTTCCTCTTATCAAGTCATTTAAAGCTACTGTTCAAGTAAAAAAGTTTTAACATCTTTATTTAGGGTCCGCATTAGTTCTACCTCCTGGGGCCCCAACAACAGAAATACAAACATCCACCTTAGAGCTTATGAATTAAAGTCAAGTCGCTGTGAGATTATAATTCTTTTATTGGAAACTGTTACAGTGGATTATCGAAACCCCCTTTTCCCTGAAATAAGTCTACCAAACTGCCTCTTTGACTATACTATGTTATGATGAAATACAGGTAAATATTTTGAACATTACGAACACAAAACTGATGTAATAACAGGTGGTGGATAAAAGCGCTCGCACACACAGAACCGCTCAGACATTTCAGACGTGCTGGTGGGAAAACAAGTCTGAACACGGAGACCACCGTCTTCCCTCCTGCAGATAAACCACCTTTGGCAGGACGTTAAGAATGTGTTTGAATAAAACTCTGGAGAAGGTGTGAGATAACAGATTTTACATCAGACACCGATATGCAAATAGTTCTATAAATTAGTCTCTGTGCAGCACAGTGCAGAGTTTGTTACAGCTTCAACAGATTAAGAGTAAAAACAACTGGCCTCAACTCACTTTTAGCTATAGGTCCTACAGTTAGGATTCACATGTATATTTATATTTATATATATAGATAAAAGATTGATTCACGAGATTAGATTTTGAGGAAAACTTAAGAGCTGAGGCATTTTTTAAAAACATAATTAAACGTTTCTCATCATTCCTGGTAGATGATCACTCTGAACTTTATCAATACATTCAGCACTCAGTTTTAAATCCATTTGCATACAAACATGATCAATCCTGCCTTAAAACACAATCACTACATAAACACAAATACCACAACGTGTACTCTATCTAAACATCATCCATCACAGTTTTCACCTCGTCTCCTCTCAATACGTAATCGTCGTTTCCTTCCTACTTTTTCACACTGACATAATTTAAAAACAGTAAAAGACGTGAAGTAAAACAAACAAAAACAAGGTACAAGCATCGTTCACTACAAACCACGGGGCCTTAACAGATAAGTGTGTGGAAATTTTAAAGTAAGGCTCGTGGGAAAATTAAGGACCGGGGAGCTTCGCTATTTGTGGATCTAATCGTGTTAAAAAAGGAGGATCGTCTCTCTTCACACTAAACTTCAAAGATAAACACGTTTAACATATGGTTAACACAATGCCTTAGTTTGATAGAACAGGCTGGGGATAAAATATTAGGATGCAATACCAAAAGTCTTTTCTAAAAGAGCATATAGAAGACCTAGAGCTGAAATGCTTCCTTGTAGTTAAAAGCAGCAAATAATCCATAAATCTAAAAGTTTATTGTCCCTTTGGGGGAAGTATGTTCAGGGCAGTAAAGTTGACTTGTTAATCTATAAGTAGGGGTACTGTGTGAGGCGCCTGGGGCTGAGCTGGTAAGAACTGTAGGCCTCAGCTCGGGGCGTCACGCTGACGTACGGAGACGCGGCGGCGAACTGATGCTGGTACGATGCGGGCAGGCCGTGCAGCAGGCTGCTGATGGACTCCTTGCGACTGGCCGAGTCTCTCCTGGAGGAGGAGGAGGTGTACGTTGCTGCATAGGTGGAGGGAGAGTGTGCGTGGCTGCCGTGGCCACGAGCCAGCAGCTGCTCCACGGCCTGAGAGGCCGAGGACAGGGCGGTGGAGGCCGGGTAGGTGTACAGGCTGGGGGCGGAGCCAGATGCCAGGGCGGACACTTCAGGGAAGCTGTAGTGAGAGGCGGGTACAGTCGGAGGGAACGTCTCCTGGCGCTGCAGAGACAGGTTGGTGTGGGACGTGCCTGAACGCTCCTGAGATGAAGAAACCACAGACTGCACCTAAACAGAAACATTTAACAGAAACAGACTAAATGTTTCAGAGAGGATTTGAAACGGAGGAGTTTTAAAACTCCATGCTCAAGTCTCATTACGGAAAAAGTGTTAAAAGCCTCACCTGGCTGAGGTTTAAGGGGTGGGACTGGCTCTGGACCAGCCCACTTCGATCCATGCTCTCCCCTGAGCTGCAGGGCTGCCGGTTGGACGATCGCTTAGGTTTGACGTAGCTCACTGCAGATCAAAGGTAGCAGTCAATCTGCTGCCATAACATCCATCATTAACACCTCAGAGGCTTCAGCAACTCACCAGTTTCCAGGCGACTGTGTGAAACCGCCCCCCTCTCTGACGGCTGGTGTTTAACTGAGGGGGCCACCACCGCCAGAGACTTGGCCTGCCGTGACGACACGGACCTCATGGTGTTGAGGGAGCGGGGAAGTGGGGTCAGGGGGCTGGCTGTAGAGGAGTCCGAGTCGTGCACGGTGACACAGCTGATGACGTTTGTGCGCTCCGAGCGGCTCAGGCCAACACTGTCAGAGGACCAAGAGTGACTTCCACCATCACTTAACCAACGTCGGATAAAAAGTTGTTTTTTTCCCTCCCCTCACCTGGCTGGGTGGAACTTGCGTTCATCCTCCGTGTCAGTGTCGCTGTGGATAGTGATGATGCTGATGGCGGGGCTGGGTGTGTCGGAGATGACGATCGGCTGAGACAACATGGCGGTGGAGGTGGACGCCGTCACACTGCTGTTGAGTAAAGACGCACCCCTACAGAGGAACAAAACAAACGTTCAAGGTTTCTAACTTCTGTTCAAAATGCAAACATCTATAGCTAATGGTTTCTGGTCTTTGTACATGAGCAGGTTTGCAATGTCCAAAATAAATAAACCAGATCATGTAGTCATTTATGCAACACGGTTTCTTCCCATTTAAAGCACAGAAACTATACAGCATTATTATGACTTTGTTGATTTGTTGCATTTTTCTTTTTTTTTCCATTTATTAAGTTGCAACATTTATTTGTGTAAAATACTGTGGCAGCAGCTGTCTGGGTTTAATATATTTTTGTGCCAAGAATCCTAATTTCTTGTTTAAACTAATGGTTGCATCAGTACATCACAGCAACATCGAAGGCTAGAAAACACGTGAAGGTAGATGATAACAACGGAGTTTAATTCAAGAAAACATTTCAAATAAGGTATCAAATTAGCTTTAACTTTGATAAATGGAGTTTAGTTGCCCCGGGCCAAGAAGGATCTGTTGTTCTTTGGCGACAGACCTGGAAAAGCATCAGAAATTTACAAACCTGTTTCTGTTTTCTGTGCATCTGGTTTTTGCTTTCTTTCTCTCTTGCTGAGTCCTGGGTTGGGTCACGTTTCTGTTGGGTATAAAAAATAAAAATGTAACAAGTTAGCACAGTACACAAACATTTGTGATGCATTTGAGGAGATTTTCACATCCCACATGTGTTATGAATATAAAACTGTTAAGAAACCCACCGCCAGCTGTGTCCTTGCTGCACAGCTGCCTCTGAGTGGACGGTCTCCAGGGGGGACTCGGGGACACTTGACTGATGAACAGAGCTGTGGATGGCCACACCTGGGACCTGCTGCCATGATGATGGGATGAGAATTTGCTGGGTACCAGTTGGCCAGGCCTGCTAAGAAAAACACCACACCTGAATAGATGCGACACAGATTTTTATTTTTTAAGAACCAACCAAAACAAAAAATATCTAATTGCTGGTAAGGGTCATTAAGCCATGCCAAGAAATGAATCCATAAACTGAATACAAAGAGGCAAGCCAGTCGCCAGTTCCCTACACAGGCAGAAGCATAAAGCTACAAGAACGAGCCATTCCTCAATCACAGCACTGGCCTGCAACAAATTCACAAAATGATACCATGCAAAGCACAAACAACAACAGGCTGTGAACAGATCAGGTAGAGAGAAACACAGAACCATGGTGCCTGTTAAAGAAGAAACAGATCAGTTTAGTTTCCTGATTCCTAATAGTCTGCTTGAATAAAAAAAAAAGACATGCCACGAGTTCTGGTGCTGAAACAGAAGATGAGTCAGAGAGACAGGCTGAGGAGAGCTTTTAGTACGTGTTGTAGCTGCTGCCTCCATGGTTGAAATCATGGGAGAACAGGACAAAAGAAGCTGCAAGCAAAGCACAGACCAACTCAGCAACACATGCGCTCCATGCCCTGAGCACACCTATGAGGGGGGGTAAAAACTGGGGAATGAAAATGTGTGAACGATATAATGGGAGGGGGTCCTTTTTGAACAGGAAGAAAATGTCAAATTTTAATCATATTGATCTAATGTCACACCAGGGAGAGTCCCAGATGAAAACAAAAGTGAAAACAAGATGCCAGATCATCAAAAATAAACAATTTACCTACAAAAATAAATCTGGATAAACCTTGGGTTTGACAACCTGAAGTCCACGTATGAAAAGGTGGAACTTTGTAGCATGAAATAAAGACTAGCCCCATAAAAAAACGTGAGGCACAGAAATAAGAGGAAACTTGCAAACGAATGAGAAGACGGGGAGAGTAGGGGAGGAAAGAGATGGCATTGTTAGTGGTAGAGGGAGTGAGCGGTCTTTCTTCACAGGCCGTCATTGTTGCTTTACCAGCACTGTGGCTGTGTGCTCCAGAAGGGTGGGCCGACCCACCCCAGTGCCCAGCCCGAGGGGCAGAGAGTACTGGGGGGCTATGCCTGCTGGGGGTGGGTGCAAGGTGGCCACCATCAGTGGTGTGCAGGAACCCTGGAGGGAGGGAGGGGGGGAGGGAGGGAAGGAGGGGAGGAGGATAGGGTACGGCAGTTTAGGTCATGCTCTTCGTTGGTCAACACAACCACCTGTGCAAGAGATGCACAAAGGTAACACTGGCCAACCACACACCCTACCTCTAGAACAATTATCCATCAGTTTACTAAACACCAACAAGCTAACTTTTTCCAGGGTGGATGATTTTCCTGCTCTATACGTCTGGATTCCATCCTACATTAAAAAACTGTGAATAAAAAGGCCCGTTTAGAACAAAAATATCCAATCAGTTCTGAAAGCAAAACCACAAAAATCAACAACACATCTACAACAGTACAGGTAATTCAACTAATAACATCTTTTTGTTTACATTTATATGTACATTCTCAMTGGATATAATGCAAAAATACACTCACCGGCCACTTTATTAGGTACACCTGTCCAACTGCTCGTTAACACTTAATTTCTAATCAGCCAATCACATGGCGGCAACTCAGTGCATTTAGGCATGTAGACATGGTCAAGACAATCTCCTGCAGTTCAAACCGAGCATCAGTATGGGGAARAAAGGTGATTTGAGTGCCTTTGAACGTGGCATGGTTGTTGGTGCCAGTAGGGCTGGTCTGAGTATTTCAGAAACTGCTGATCTACTGGGATTTTCACGCACAACCATCTCTAGGGTTTACAGAGAATGGTCCGAAAAAGAAAAAACATCCAGTGAGCGGCAGTCCTGTGGGCGGAAATGCCTTGTTGATGCCAGAGGTCAGAGGAGAATGGGCAGACTGGTTCGAGCTGATAGAAAGGCAACAGTGACTCAAATAACCACCCGTTACAACCRAGGTAGGCAGAAGAGCATCTCTGAATGCACAGTATGTCGAACTTTGAGGCAGATGGGCTTCAGCAGCAGAAGACCACACCGGGTGCCACTCCTGTCAGCTAAGAACAGGAAATTGAGGCTACAATTTGCACAAGCTCATCGAAATTGGACAAGAGAAGATTGGAAAAACGTTGCCTGGTCTGATGAGTCTCGATTTCTGCTGCGACATTCGGATGGTAGGGTCAGAATTTGGCGTCAACAACATGAAAGCATGGATCCATCCTGCCTTGTATCAACGGTTCAGGCTGGTGGTGGTGGTGTCATGGTGTGGGGAATCTTTTCTTGGCACTCTTTGGGCCCCTTGGTACCAATTGAGCATCGTTGCAACGCCACAGCCTACCTGAGTATTGTTGCTGACCATGTCCATCCCTTTATGACCACAATGTACCCAACATCTGATGGCTACTTTCAGCAGGATAATGCGCCATGTCATAAAGCTGGAATCATCTCAGACTGGTTTCTTGAACATGACAATGAGTTCACTGTACTCAAATGGCCTCCACAGTCACCAGATCTCAATCCAACAGAGCATCTTTGGGATGTGGTGGAACGGGAGATTCGCATCATGGATGTGCAGCCGACAAATCTGCGGCAACTGTGTGATGCCATCATGTCAATATGGACCAAAATCTCTGAGGAAWGCTTCCAGCACCTTGTTGAATCTATGCCACGAAGAATTGAGGCAGTTCTGAAGGCAAAAGGGGTCCAACCCGTTACTAGCGTGGTGTACCTAATAAAGTGGCCGGTGAGTGTAATTTAATTTTTAATTTTGTCAGCTGCACCATGTCCTCTACACTCACTAAAATCTGGTCAAACTGGCTGCTCCCATCATTTCAGGTGCTCCTGTATTGTCATTATTACAGTAATATGTTGCAAAAAGCCCTTCCCGTTCTGTACCTGAGCAGGCAGTGTCAACCTGCTAGATTTAGACATACATGATGGTCAGAGTTACTGCACTGATAAGGAAACGTTGACTCAAAATTACGGTTAGCTTCTTGTGAAGTCAAAACCAGCAACATTTTCTGGTAGAGCTGTTTGTTTACACCAGTCTCTCAAAAATAGCAGCCAGCCACCTGTCAAAGTCCTACAAACTAAAAATCATTAAAAGTAATAAGTTCTAAATAACTCCTTACCTGTGTGAGCATACTTGGCTGGATCTGCAGCGACTGAGCAGACTGGTTCTGAGGTACAACAGGTACAGAGTTCTCCATCCTCACTGGGAAACTCGAACTCTTACTGGATGATTGGAGCCCTGAAAAACAAACAAACAAACAAAAAAACCATTTCAAAAGTCAAAATATAGCTTCACAGATAAACACTTCTTTTTAACAGTTGACAGTATTAACACAGGTGGGTTTTTAAAATGCTTTAGACAGTAGAAAAGCAACATTTACCTTGAATAGTGGAGGGTGGACACACGATGAGGGTCTGCTGGAAGGGTTCTGTCTGGCCACACAGCCCAGCAGGACGTGTCGGAATCGGCACGCCTTGTTGAGCCAGCCCAGGAATGTTGATGGTCGCCTGCTGGTAGAGAGCTGGCTGGTAGTTCAGCAGAGGCACCGCAGCCCCCGCAGAAGGCACCTGGAGACAAAAACAAAACGTGAATGTGAAACTGCTCCATGAGTAAACAGACCAAATTAATGAGGCAACATCGATTACATGTGATTTATTAAACTGAGGGTGACCTTTAAATAAATATACAACAAACACTTTCATGTTGTATCAATAAAACATACATGATGTATTACTGTAAGGATAGAGTGTTTAGTAACTCAGTCATCTCTTTTTTTAAGGCACACATGAAATATATTTATTAACCAACAAGCTATGTGCATACATGCCCACTCTACTGGTCCCTTCATTTTAGTCACAATTCTTTCATATTTATATGACTTGTGGCAGATTTAAATTTTGCTTATGTAACCCACTGACATGCATCAATATGCAACTTTATATGCATTGAAAACAAATAAATTTAAATAAAATGCATTAGTGGGGGCAGTAAACGTTTACAAATCAGGCAAATTATGGTATTTAATTAGAAGTGACAGTATCTGGAAACTCATTGCTCTCTTTGTGTCTACGTCAAATGAACTGAGTAAAATAAATTTAAAAGTTGCTCGTGTGGGGCTGAAATTGGGCAATTTTTTTTATAGTTTTTTTTTTAATGAAGCAAATCTTCATAAAACCAAAGACCACACCTGGTTATGCTGGTTAAGTTGGCTACTGAAGGTAACAGTGAGGTTTCCTGCTGCAGCGCTGGGGACTGCACTGGTGGAGTACAGAGATTTGCTGCTGTCATACGAGCTCCGACGTTTGCAAATTTCCATGTTCTGGAAGCACGACTTCACACTGGAGAAGATGGAGCGTCAACATTTTAGCAGCTATATTTAAACAAACCTTTATTCATGCCGTCGTTGCAGTTAATACACACTTACTGAGAAATTTGGGGATAATCCATCAGGTGGCTCATGGTGACGAAGGGGTGACCCAGAGTTTTTGTAGGCGTGATCCTTTTGTCAGCATCCAAACGAAGCATTCGCTTCAAGAGGTCTATAAACTCTCGCCTGTCAGCTTTCTCAGCCAGCATGTCTGTCCCCTCCAAGTGAGAAGACAGATTGACCTGGAATACAACACAACCATCAAGACATCATAATACAACCAAAATTCTGGAGTTCTTTAGCTTTTCAGCAATTCCTGTTCTCTTAATCAAACTGAGTTTATCTTCTTTGTTAACTTAAGATCTGTCACTTTAACATGAAAAAATGTTAGAATTTTTGGCTGAAAGCTCAAAAAAACATTTTACATCCAAACAGTTCAAATGCCAAGCAGTTGAATCAGAAAGCAAACAAACTGTACAAAAAGGCAATAATGCAAATCTGTAAATACATTAGAGCAAATATGTAAAGTCAAGCAAATAAATGTGTTGTAAAGTGTGTTGAAGGTTTTTTTGTACTAGACTGAGTAAATATGGTCTTAAGTTAAATATAATTTCTCATTGTTTTATATGATATATATGGTGAAAAATAAATGTTTGGATCATTTTTCAAAAGAACAKTCAAAAACAAGTCTTTGTCAGGCAGGTAAGAAAAAAAGAAATAACATTTGCAATTAAAAACCTAAAATTGAACATCTATTGGTGGTACAGACATGATCTGTCCTGTGCTGAATGACAAAACACCAAATCATTTCGTTACTAAAACCTCTGTGACTTTGCTCTAGATTATTTTAGCAGCATGAATCTGTGCCCAGGTAATGTCCACATGTGGATTTATAGCTTCCAGTAATGTTTTTTTACCTTATTTGTTAGTTTTAAATGGGTTATATGAACACACTGTCTAATGAAAAAATCTTCAGGGAGGAAAATAAAAGACAACTACTGACAACTGCCTTAACTGATGTACTGCAGGATTAGTAGATTGTCAATTCAAATGTTCTCTAGCTATTCATACACATCTAACTTGGAATATGAACAGACACACACACACACACACACACACACACACACACACACACACACACAAAACCCCCTGAAGTCGACGCCCGCTCAGGAGCAGGCAAAGACAAGCATTTAAAGGGCTACTAGAAAAAAAATTGGTAGCATACACAGTGTTCATTTTAACTGGGTTGGACAGCACGGACTTCAAACTTTATAAAAGTTATGTTTTTATACAGTTTTATTTTTTATTTACTTCCAAATAAAACTTTTGCCATAATGTGCGCATTTTTACGCATTTGGTGCGCATTTAGAGAACGTTTTGTGACCAGGAAGTGCTTGAATGCATTATGAAACCTATTTTTCCCCCATTTCCTCAAACACACCACATTTCCAAAACAACCAATCAAAACAGTTTGTCGGTAGGCTTGTGGAGAGAAAGTTCTAGAGAGGTTCWGGGCCGGTCGCAAAGTTTTGGTGACGGGCCAAGGACGGATTGATTTCAGCATTTTGGATTTAGCTAGTAGCGGGTTAGTTTTTAGACCAGATGTGTGTTAGAGCAGTGTTTCCCAAAGTTGGGGTCGGGACCTAAAGTGGGGTCCTGAAACATGAAGGTGGGATCCTGAAAAGATTTTCTGAATTAATTAAATTTTTGCCTTAGTTGTTAGAAAGGAGTGAGGTTAGTGTATTTAAAATGGATAAATGTAGTATAAAAATATTGTYACTATGCCCATGTTTWGTTGACCTGATACAAATGTTTATCATCCAAAAATAKYTGKRRGCWCAGGTCTCTGCTRYTGTTATTTTGTGGGTCAAAAGCTGAAAAGTTTGGGAACCACTGCACTTTGGTTCCCAAAGTTGGGCTTGGGACCCAATAATGGGTCAGGAAGCACCTTGGATAATCTCCAGAAATCAATGTAAAGGGTAATAAAATAATTGCTGATGTAATATTTCCCTTGTAACTATTACAAAAACACAAAAAAGTATAAATAAGTATTTATATTTGTGTACAGGCTCTTTAGATTGTCAAAATCCTGTGTTTTTAGGGTTATTAACAAAGTTCGTCTACTCAGACCAGTAATATTTGGGGTCACAAGTTTTTGCCATGGATGGTTGGGGGTCAGAAGATAAAAAGTTTGGAAACCACTGTGTTGGAGTGTGCGAGTGTGTGTGCAGTTTTTGTAGCAGTGTTGTTAGTCTGTGTGTCAAAATGAGTCATCGTTTGACTGTGGAGGAAGCTCTGAATTACGGTGCTTCAGCTTGATGAAGAAGACTGAGTAAGGGGAGTAAGACGGAGTGCCGGTGGACTTCAGACTCGGAGTTTAGTTGTTTGTTTGTTTGGCATGGAATATGTAAAATATAATCGGAACAGAGGCAAACTGCACCACATTATACAAGCTGATTTCATCTCCAGGGGAAGACCAAGAGGAGGAGGGGGAGGAGAGCCCACCCACTCTGTCAGACCCACAACACAGAAACTACAACGAAGTCGGACCAGGACCAGAACCAGATCCCTGCTGGCAGCAGCAGCAGAAACAGCAGCTGAAACAGATGATGGGACATCAAAATGAAACCAGACAGCTCCTGTTGTAAAGCCGTTTTCAGCCATGGAGTGCAGGTAGATCTGCTGTCCCCCCACAGTCCAAAATACCTTTTGTTGTTTTCTTTTGTTTCTGATACAGTCAAGACCATCTGTGCTAACATCAACAAACATGCTACAAAAAAAAAAAAACTGGTGGAAAAAAATATAAATGGGCTCAAATAGACAGAGGAGTTATATAAATCTTTGGGTCTCCTGACATTCTTCTATGGTTCAACTGCCAATGTTCAGGACTTATAGTTGTAAAAACAAAGACAAAAAACATGAGACATAAGGTTGGAGAGATTTTATGATAGTCATTGTCACACATTTTTGAAATGTTTGTAAAATAAAATAAAATAAAATAAAATAAACACGGGACATTGTAAGCTTGGAGATAATTTGTGGAGGAGTCATTGTGACACATTTAGTATGTTGCAAAAAACGCCAGGGAATTTACACACAATTTAATGTAA